ATTTTATGATTCTTCTCTGGAACATATTCTTTTTGTTGCATAGAAAACCTTCGTTTTCAACTGTAGTTTTTTCACTGTAGTTTTTTCACTTGCATCAGAAATGTAAGACCTTTCAATGCTTTAACTAGGGAAAGTTTGTCATACTGAGATTGAAGTCAGATATCTGGCTCTGTATGTATGCCCATTAAGCCCATGGCTGCATTTCTGTGTAATTTACTTAACTGTCTCTTAAGAACAGCCAGTTTTTTTTTTTTAAAGTTAAGTGACTGTTCTCCCAACTGTTAAACAGAATTCTTTTGTGCTGCTGTTAGTCTGTCACATCTTACATGCGAGGCTTTTTGCGGCCTGATTTGGATATTAGGTGTTTTAGAGGACTGTTATCTTCTCCACCTTGAATCCCTGGTAATGAAAAAGTCACCATCTTGTTTGGAAGAGTTTTGCCTGATCCTTTTCTGGTTGTTAAGATAGTAGAAAATGATTCTGAAGACTTTTCTGCCATCAAAACTGTCAAGGTGGAGGATGTTATTTGAATAGGCCCCCATTTTTTTCTGTCAAAGTGAGGGAAGGCATCTAATGTCCATCCAATTAGATGATGTCAGGTTTTGTATTTTTTTTTTTTCTCACAGCTTAGGATTTGTTTGTCTATATGCAACATCTGCTGCAAACATCCTAAATGCAGAATGCAATACTGCAAGTATAGAATAAATTGCCTTAAATTGGCCTGTTTTCTGATGTAAAGGTCTGGTTCTGGTTGTAAATCTACGGTGGAATCTTTTTTCCTCTTCCAGTATATTTCTTTTTCTTCATGGCATCTGTTTTTTTTTTTTTTTGTCTTATGTAGAGCTGTAGTACTCTAGTCCTTGCAGCTTTTGCAAGACTTCCTGCTTTCAGGATAGTAATCTTCTCTGTTACTTGGCCCAGAAACTGGATCAACCTGCAAGCAGCTTTGCCTTGACACTTCAGAGTTTGTATAAACAATGTAAATGTTGCTAATGACCTTTGAGGAAAATGTGGGCTTATTCTGACTCCCACAGAAATTTTTGCACTGTTCTGCTTCATTCCTGGAATTCCCTCATATCCTGGGAAGAAGAAATGAGAGTGGGATATGTCTAAGCCAAATAGCAAAAAGCCAGTTAGTCTGCTTTATTGTTAACTCTTTCTGCTTGTTCATCATGCACAATAGTTACGTCTCTTGTTTTGTTATTAGTGTTAGTAATTGTCTGTGGCCAATAAGAATTTTGTAAGCATCTCTTGATAATTTCTGCCCAAGTCATTTCTGTACAAGCTCTGTTTGTTTGCCTCAAGAATAACGATGTGTAGGGCAAGGTCTAGTTATGAGTAACTGGAATTCTTCTGTTGGCTTGTCTCCCCAGACTCCCTGCTCATTTTTTCTCTTCCTTGTGGAGTTTCAGATGCAAGTGTTGGGAAAGACACAACTGGGATGAAATTGTGGGGTTTTTTTTTTGTTTTTGTTTTAAAACCTCAAACTGTAATGGCTTATGATCCTTAAAGGATCTCAAATAACTGTCAGAGTGATGATCTCTGGCTTAGCTCAATCTGGAGAAGAACTTTGCTTGGTGTTGGGTGACCAATTTATTATGCTTTTTAATATATATCAGGTGCCACTGTAAGATCTTAACACATTTTAGAAAATCTTTGTGTACTGGTCACCTTTTCTGTGCTAAGTCAAGCATTACGTGCCTAGCTCTGTGTGGGTAGTTGCTTGTTGTTAGCTGTTGTTGTGTCTATGCAAGTAACACATTTAGCACTAGGTAACTTGCTCTTCTTTTAAAAGATGTTTTGACAAGCTTTGAACATGAGTCACTGTGTGACTGTATTATATAAAACCAAAATAATAGCATTTTGTGTGATGGTGTAGACCATGTAATTAATTGTGGCTTGCCTTTTTTCTTTTTTCTTTTTTCCTTTATTTTTTTTTTTAAATTAATGAAGAGCCTAGCCATAAATTTATATGTACTTACCCAGGTTGTTACAACACTTTTAAAAATGAGACTGTTCTTAAAAAAGACTTTTGTCTGTATTTGTAAATGACTTAACTTATAGGAGCTTATATTTTGTCCTGTTTTTATTTTGTTTCTATTGTTAAAGATGGTCAGTGGGATTTGACAAACTATCACCTCTTAGACCTGGGCCGGCCGCATCATTCGATAAGATGCATGACAGTGGTACATGACAAAGTCTGGTGTGGCTACAGGAACAAAATCTATGTTGTTCAGCCAAAGGCCATGAAAATAGAGGCAAGTTAAACTGATGTTTAAAATATAATTATATGTTGTTATGTCTTAATGCCATCTTATGCCAAAGCTCAAACTCCAGAGAACAGTTCATCAGCACAGAAACAGGAAGCAAAGCAAACTTGCTTTAGGAAATACTATTAAACTTTCTTAAGATAAAATGATGTTTTCGTGTTTTAGAAGAGTTTGAGGAATGATGAGACAGTCCTTGTTTGTTAAAACCAATTATTTTGGGATTTATTTCTCTACTTCTAGCTGACCAGAAACTAGGAGGTATCCTTAAGTCCTTGCGGTGTTTGCAAGGGTAGCTCCCAACTCATTCTTTATTCGTACATACTTACTCATTTATTATGCTCTCCACCCATTTGCAACCTTCTCTAGAATTTGTCTCTGCAATATTTAGAGGTTTTAAAGTGTTAGTATTGAGTATACTCTCCTTCTAGTTATACACTTTGTTCCTGTACTTTGTATAGTATACCTCAATACTTTGTTTCTGTAAAAGATATCTAAGCTGGTGTTTCTGCAGTGCTGTGTGGGTAAATGACATCCCACGTGTGCAGGAAGTGGCCACAGTTTCTGGAAAACTTTACCAAAATTAGTACTTCAACTTCTGGTACTTGGTCTGAGGCATGGGTCTGACTTTCAGAGGATGAAAGCTCAGCTCTCTTGAAAACATCAAGGACCTAATTCATAATATGTATTTCTGTGAAGAAGAGGTTTATATTTGGAAAACTGAAACAAGGGAATCAATACAACTGTGATCTGAATTGTATTTTTGGTATTTGCATGGGTGGATTTGTATGTAAGATAGTACTGGAAAGAGAAACAAATTTGGTCGTGTATATTGTGTGCTGTGTCTGGAAGAGCTTATATCAAAAAGGCTCAAGGTTAAAATGGAAACAGAAGTCAGAGCAGGCTGAGAATATAATGTAAATGAGAATGCAGTAGGAAGCTATAGCTTTGCAGTTGTGCTCCAGGTCAGGGAATCAGTGTTTTTACTGTTGCTTTACCAGCATCGTGTGGTAATTGTAACCAAGCTAAGTGCCGTATCTACTTGTTATCTAGCAAATCAAGGGGGTAGTGGATGACTTAAGAAAACTGCCAGTGTTGATAATATGAGACTAAAAGAGAAGATCTTCCTGTTCCCCTTTATTGTTTCAATTCCTAACTGAAAATCCATTCTCTTATAGAAGTCATTTGATGCACACCCAAGAAGAGAAAGCCAAGTGAGGCAGCTGGCATGGGTGGGTGATGGGGTATGGGTGTCTATTCGTTTGGACTCTACCCTGCGTCTCTATCATGCACACACGTATCAGCATCTACAAGATGTGGACATTGAACCTTATGTAAGCAAAATGCTAGGTAAGTTGATAAGACTAAATGAAATATTCTTTTACCTCTTGCTGTCTGGAGCTTTCTTTTTTTCTGTTATTGATCAGAGAATCCCCGTTGCAAGCAAAGAGGAAGGGTGAATGGAAGGCTAGTCAAATCCTGTTTGTTGTAAAATTTGATTCTGGAATGAGAAGCCTAAGTCAGTTTGTAAAGCATCATTAGGCTGATAGCTATTCTGTAATCCTTGCTGATGCTGACAGTGTCCCTAAAAACTTGGAACTAATTAAAAAAGATGATTGGGCAGAAATCCAGAGACACTAAAATCTTTCTCTATTACTGGATTGATGCTTGTTTTTAATCGAAGCGTGGGAAGAACCGATAGCTTGCATGGAAAAACTGCCATTTGACATCCTTTATGAGTAACTACTCTGCCATTGGTATACATGGAGGTAGTTTGGGGTAATTTAGCCTACACTGTACTAGGCTTGACAGACTTCTCCCACTCCCCTGTAGCACTAATGATATTCTCTGGAAGTTGTTCACTTTTTACAAGACACAGTACTTGTTTTCTAGCCAGTTAAAAAAATATGCACACGCACACACACATACATACATACATACATATATATGAAAATATATAAAACCTCTGTAAACCCACACTTTTTGGTTGAAAAGCTGCCCAGGTGCTGTAAGACCCAAAATAAGTTATTGTGCAGCATTATGGAGGAGGATAGCACCTTTTATGCTATCTAGCAATTCATTAGTCTCTGCATGCATTCACAGTTTAATTCAGAGAAGTGCTTTAGCCTCTTAGGTTATCTTTACAGATAAAATATAGCTCGAAGAATGCACCCTTCTGACTTGGTTCTGCTTGAAGTGGGAGGGTATTACTTGTCTGCATGGGTTGGGAGTTGAAGTTAAAGTTCTCTGTCGTGGAACTAAAATTCTTTTTGCTTATAATTTTTGATGAAAAGCATCTTTTGTTTTTAGGTACTGGTAAACTGGGATTCTCATTTGTGAGAATCACAGCTCTTATGGTGTCTTGTAATCGTTTATGGGTAGGAACAGGAAATGGTGTCATCATCTCCATTCCATTAACAGAAAGTAAGTAAAAACATAAATGAAAAACACTGTGCAGAATGCTGTAGACATAAAAAGAAAACATTAAAGGTCATTCAAAGGCTTACTGATGGATAGAGAGCTTTACCTCTAGGTCTGAATCTTTCAGGTTTGTAATGGAGATTGACTCTGTGCAAAGTGTAGCACATAATCTGTGTCCATGGTTACAATTTCTCTGTGCAGAGGAGCCCATCTTGAAAAGTTCCTTTGTTCAGAATTTAGCAGAGATGATCTGGCTTGAATAAAGAAGAGACGTTTTGAAGCCTTAGAGATGTTAGTATTAGCAGTATCTATACATCTATAGAAGCTTATTGCCTGTAAGAGATGGCTTTAGTTTTCCAGTTGATGTTATTTTTGATCACTAAAGTAGCTTTTCGGTTTGACTTAAGCAAGTTGATATTGTTGCTAATACAATTTGAATGGCTTCCGTTTTAAGAATTCATCACAAAATAGGCATGAAGGACTATAGAGCAGCAGTATTACCAACTGCTTTAAAGGATGTGTCCAAAGCCACTGGAGTTGTAAACACATTCTTCAAGTGGAGCACTGCAACTTGTGGTTAAAATGCCATTACTGAATAATCCAAGTATCTGCTTAATAGATCCTAAACTCTTGCCATAGGTTGAAACTACTGGGGTGGGAGGCGGGAAGAAGCATTCTGATATGGGCAGTTGAACCTTGGGAGAAGAGAACAGTCAGTTTTCACTCCAGGGCAAAACAAATCTTAAGTAGATTAAGCTTGGGAAGAATCTGATTTGTAAATTGATTTTTTTTTTTTCTTTTCTTTTTTAACAACTTATGTCTGAGACTAATGTAAAAACACAGGGACAAAGGCTTCAGAAAATAAAATACATCAATTTGGCAGTCCTAAAAGTGTTATAATGTTATATAAAAGCAGAGCAGTCTGACAGGTGAAATCTTAAGGTGATTTAAAAGTAAAAACTCATCATGTTGTATCTGCTTTGTTGAACAGCACATGCATACATTTTTTTTCCTCATACTGTTCCTTTACGTTGTCCATCCATTCAGTAAATGTCTTTTTGCATTGCATGAGTGTACTTAAGGAAGGATAAACTTGCTATCATGACTTTAAAATAGTTAAGTCATGCTTTCAAAAATTATAGCTCTTAATTTGTGTCAAGCTCAATTTAATGTTTCCAGAGGAGTTTGTTTTTAAAAAACAAATCGGACGTGAAAAAAGAACCCTATTAAAGCTAGTGGATTTAAGTTCAATTTTGTTAGTTGTTCATGAATCAGAACAAACTCTTGTGAATAGGCTGAGTTGTGGGTTTGAGACCCTGTGTGATAAATATTCATGTTTCAAAGGCGGTTGCGTGTATGCATACTCAATTACATACTCTCAGTTCCCTGGGTCTCACTAGCAGGGCATCTTACCAGATCTGCAGATGGTATTTCACACAGGCACTTAGAAACACGAGGAGTTGCATGTTATTTTGTTAGCCTCCTGCTAAGGAAAGAGAGAAAGGGGAAACTTTGCAAGTAGTGAAACTTTGCCGATGAATGAAACTTTATAGTGATAAAGCATATGAAAGTGGCCCTGCTTTCTTTGTCCAATTTATACTGAAACTTTTATACCAAGATGCTGTTCTCTGTGACTTTTTATTGAATCTTCTGTATGAGATATTAACTGTTTTTAGGAGCTAAAATTTTAAGCTCTGTCTTATCAGAAACCAAAATATGAGAGTGGTGGGTTCTCATTAATCCTTCTCCTCTACTGTCATACCTATCCATTTCCCCTTTCCTCCTTTCTCACTTTAGCTGTAATCCTCCACCAGGGACGTTTACTGGGGCTGAGGGGTAAGTGCAGATCCTGAACAAAAATCTATTTTCAGGCTTCTAATAGCCACTTCAAGGCTGTTTCCCACTCCTTATAGATTTACCCTTTGTATGTTCCTAAATGTTTTTCCACTTGCAGTTACTGCATTGCAGCAGTTTTATGTTTGCTAAATGGCCACCAATCTGCTCAGCAGTTTAGTATATCATCCTGTGTTGCAGCTGAACTTTCATACCGACTTTGTTTTTCTTCCAGCCAGTGTGATACCATATCTCATAACTTTGTCATTAATCCACATCATTTACTGTCTTGTTACAAATCACTGTTTCTTTCACTCCTTTGATAGTCTTTGGAATGGAGATGGCTTGTATGTCTAGCATGAGTACTTTTCTGTTTTAATGGATTTTAAAACTTCTTGGTAAAAACTAGACATTGAATTCTAATAGGGTAGCTCCTTCATGCCTATAGGTGGTTATTTTTAGTGTGGTGGTTTTTTTTTTTTTTTTTGTTGGCCAGGGGGAACCCTATG